TCATAAATAATATCAATAATAGCAATTGTTTCTTTAACTTCTTGTTGAACAGTTTTTTTTTGTCCAACTAATGTTAAATATTCAAGTAAATGTAAATGTTCTTCATAATCAATATGATTCTCTAAATATTTATCAAATTGAATTCCACCATGAATTGTATAATCAGTTGATGTTGGATTCGTTGGATGCATTGTTAAACTAAATATAGCATAAGCATTTTGATTAAAAAATTCTGTAACTTTTTCTTCTGGTACATTTTCATCTTTCATACGAAAAAAAACATATTCAAAACGATCAGCTGTTGCTGTACTATTTGGATTTTCAATTTTTTCATTATAGATTTTTGCATTAACAAATTTTCTTACACGACGTTCTAAATCCATTATTTTAGCATAATATTCTAATAATTTTTCTCTTTCAATACTACCAAATTTTAAATCATTTAAAATTTTTTTATAAACTTCAATACGAATATCACGATTTGGATTTGTACAAATATTAAAAATTTCTTTTAAATAATAAGCTAATGTTTCATTTTCTTTTGAGATTTCATTTATTAATCTATATCGAATTGTTTCTTGATCATCATTAAGTTCTAATATTTCTTCATCCATTATTAAATTTATCTAAAACAAAATTATATTCAAATGTTACACCACTATTAAATTAGATGTTAATCTTCGAATATTCATTTTTGAAGATAAGTTTATTTTCATCAATCAACTCTCATGTATTTAATGAGTTTTGCAAAAAAACATATTGTTGATGTCTTCTTTTTAATTATCTTCAAAGTCACTAAGATTTCTCTTTTTTTTATTTTTTGAAGATGATTTTATCTGAGAAAATGATATCTTCGATTGAATCGAACAAAATAAAAACCGACTAGATTCATTTAGGATATTTAACAGTTTACTCTTCAATTGCCAATGGATTCATCATTCATAGAATGATTGCAGAATACAATCGAAACATCGGATTAGAAAACTTTATTAGCTATCAATTGAAAGAAAGTATCATTTTTTTTTCATCGCTTCCTCTTTGATATAATAGCCTTACAAAATTGATCATTGGAAAAAAAATGAAATTTTTTATGAGATATTTTTCGAATGCATCACCATAACTTGACCTATTGTATACATTAACTCACATTATTGATCAAGAACTTACAATACAGCATCTTTAGACTAATTAAGAGAAATGATTATTTATCTATAATAATCCTCAGTTCATCAGAAATTATAAAAAATTCTAAAATACGATAGATGCCTTTTTAAGAAGATATGATAAAAACATATGTATTCTTTTGATGCATTTTTTGTCGGTTTTATTTCTTCCTTTTTCTATTACTCGAATAAGATTGAATAGATAGTACATTTGCTCACTCCATAATGGGGTCAATGAAAAAACTATTAATGATAATTTTGTTATTCCATCACCTACTTCATAACATGGTTAATTGATCAATTAAATGACCTTATATAATAAAGGTAGACACTCAGTGGATTATACCACATTATTGTCATACTAGACGCTCGAGTACTCTATTCTTATTGTTATTTAATCAGTATCTCTTTCAACAACCGCTGCAGAGGATAAATGATTAATTTTGCACTTAAGCAAGTATTTTTTTTGATTTTGCGTTCTTGAAATTATTGCAATAGATAATCATAGCTTCTGAGGACGTGCTTCGATAATACAAGAAAGAAAGAAAGAAAAAAAAATACTTTAATACTTCGTTTCGCATTACCTTAACAAACAAAGAAAATAAACGAGTCAAGGACTGTATTACATATCACATAAATAATGAAATTTTATTGTGTTTAGAAATATCGATTAAGTTTAATTAATCGGTTATAATAGAAGGGCGAAAATGAAACCGAAAAAAATATGAGTGCTCATGAGCAACTTAAATCATGATATTGTCACTTTAAATCATAAATGACTAATCATTTTTTTTTTTCGGTTGATTTCGCTTTCATCTTCACCTTTTTATTATTATCTTCATGTGAGTATTCTACTTTTACCGGATTGGTTTATTTCTTATAGCAATAACTATATAACTTTGAATGAATCGATTATCAATATATGAACAAGCAAATATTTTTCTAAACAAAAGTATCGATTTTATTTATTTTATGTTCAATCGAAATTATAACTAAATATATAACACGATTCGTCACAGATAATATAATTAAGACGAACTTTATTTTAACATTTTCACAATTGATATTTAAATACTTGACAAAATAAATTTATTTCAAAAATAAAATTAAATTCACATGTTTATTAATAAAAGTTTTTCATTTACATAAATATTTATAGTTAAGATAAATCCTAAGAAAAAACATGCCTTAAAATTGATCTTATTTGTATGACTCTATAAATACTGACTAAAATCGAACCAATGTCTAATTGTAGATAAATATTACAGTGAGATATCAGATATTACCATATAATAAATTCATGTTCATCTAGATTTTAACAGATCTATTAATAAAATTGAATATCATTCTCTTCTATTGACTAAAATCTATTTATTAATTAATCAATAATAAAATGAATGTATAAATATATAATAAACATTCGAAGAAAAAGTACATTTCAATGGTTATTTATTGATTGAGCTTTTTTTTATTTTCTTATAATTCTCTTTTAAATTTTTTTCATAATTTCGATTAGAACATCTCATTTAATATAAATCTTAATAATTATCAAAAAGAAAATGTTTTTATTTAATCGAATTTACCAGTTTTCCTCAAACTAAAAACAATTTGATTTATTCTTAGAAAAACAAAAAAAAGAATTTCATAAATGAATATAGAATATTTTCAAATGATAATAAGACAAACCTTAATTAGATCGAAAATAATAACAAAATAGTCGTTTTGTAATCATATTTTGTTTTTTTTCTTTTTCTTTCGTATCGTACAATCATTATGATAAATAAATAAACAAAATCACACAGTACATAAAATGTTTCTCTTTTCTATCGTACTAGATATAAGTCGACACGTGACTAATATTATAGAGAAACCATCGATATTACATTATAAATAATGATACGGACGACTAGATTCTATCATTTAGATCGATTTATTATGTATATATTTAATATCAATTTTTAGTCGCACAAAACTATTTTTCAAACGAATCATTTTTATGGTTTGTCCAAACGTAATGCCGTGACGTTTTTGACAAACTTTTTTTTGCATTATCTCTGAAACTATGAAAGCAAGAAAGATCATTTGACGAAGCTTGTCAAACTCTATTTATGCCATAAAAATGACTTTTTTCCATAAAAGTCTCGAGCATCGAGAAAGAGTTTTTGATCGCGTAACGCTGTAACATAAAAAGACCTTTTTTCTTCAGAGTCGCTAAGAAAACTGCAATTTCTTGTGAAAATATTTCTCCAAATGAAACACTTCTATAGCCAGTTTTGAATGAGCTTTTAAACGCTAAAAAAAGATTTTCTTTAAACTATTTTTACTCAGATATAAAATGCAGAAAAGCTAAAGTAACGCTTTGACACAGTTTTTGTTGACCAATTTTGAGGCACTTAACATGGTCAGAACGATTTCATTTTTATAAGTATTAGTCTTTTCTGTATACCTAATCATTCTGGGCAAGAACAAGATCGATACATTGCCATGGAAGCTCATAAGAAACGCAGTTAGTTGCAAACTATATATGAATCTACAAAGTGTTTTTAGTCACGAAAGTCAAAACTAAGTAACCCATTTTGTAGAGAATAAAATTCTACGTCGAATGGTATGTTCCTCAGCTTTTTTTGGAAAACTTTCTTGTTTAGAAAATCCAAAATACGACTTTTGAAAAATTTAAAAGTCAATTTTCAATGGCAAAATCTAATTTTTGTAGAAAATAAATGTCAAAATCGTAATCAGCATTAAAAGTTGCATCGAATAACTCATTCAGATCTATCCAATTTGAAACAAAATTTTTTCGAAACTTGATCAGCAAAGTGTCGTGTTACGTGGACAAGTTGTTATTCTTTATTTCATATCAATCAGAATTATTTTCATTTATTTGTTTTCGATCTTTAAATAGGAAAGTTTGATAAGATAGATAATACAAAAACATAAGTATTTAATGAAATAAAATTGATCTTAAAACTTTATAAAACCATTGTAAACGTCTGTCTAAAGAATAAATAATCATCATAAATAAATTTAATTAATTTTCATATGATTAAAATGTTGAGAAGTTCTTGATAATATTTTTAACAAAAAAAAGATATTTTATAAAATAAATAATATTAAATAAACACATAATTATTGAATTAAATTTATTAAAAAAAACTAGTTCGTTGGTGTTGTGTAAATGAACGTGAATATAAAAAATGTCAATCATGGTCAAATGCATTATCATCATCAAATATAACATTATCAAAATTAATTTGTATAGCTGGATTAGATAAATTTGATTGTTATAGAAAAATTTTTAATGATGAAGCAGATTTAATGACTGCTGATTCAGGTGAAATATATACAGCTGATAGATATTATAATCTTGTACCTATTGCTAATGAAATTTATGCACCAACTTTTAATGGTAAATAATAATAATAATAAATAAATATATAAACAAAATGTATATATATATATATTGTAATGTATGCTGTTGCCGTTGCTAAATGTACTGATTTAACAAGTAATTTATGGAATTTACGTGGAAAAACAATTTGTTCAACAGCTATGGGTGATCTTGCTGGTTGACATGTTCCGGTTGATTATTTACATGTTATTAAAGAATTATATATTACTAATTGTCATATAAATAAACAAGCTGGTTAGTTAGTTTTTATTTTAAATATATTTAAAATATTTATTTTTCCAAATAAAAATAATAGGTGAATATTTTGGTCAAAGTTGTGTACCAGGTTCTCTTGATTATGATTATAATAAATTAAAAACAAATCCACGTGCATTATGTTTAAGATGTTATGCTTAAGGTTCAGATTATTGTTCACGTCACATCGAGAAATGTTTTATGGAAGTTCAGGAGCATTTCGTTGTTTAATTGAAGGTTTATTTATTTATTTATTCATGAATAAAATAAAATTTTTTGTTTTATTTTGAATAAAAATAAAAGCTCGTGGTGGTCATGTTGCATTTGTAATGCATACAGCAGTTATATCAAATACAGCTGGAAGAAATATTGGTCAATGGGCTCGACCATTACGTGCAAATGATTTTGAATTATTATGTAATAATGGAACACGTAAAACAATCGAAGCTTATAAAAGTTGTCATTTACTTCGAGTTCCAGCTAGAGTTTTAATGACATCAAGTTTGAATATTTTCTTTGTTTTTTCTTATTTTATTTGAATATGTGTTTTTGTTTTCATTAGATTTATTACCAGATTTAGATAGACTTTATATATAGAATATGCTTAATTTTGCTCAACAATTATTTGGATCTGATACGTACGAATCGCTTTTTTTATTATTAAAAGTTTGACAAAAAAAACTAAATAATTTATTTTTATGTTTTGTTTAGAAATAAAGAATTTGCAATGTTTGATTCATTTTATGAACATCCAGATTTAATGTTTCTTAATGATGCAACAGTGCAATTAACATGTATAACAACAAGTCTTGATGATTATCTTAGTCCAGATATAATACAATTATTACATCGTACTGAATCACAAATGTGTAATATAGCTTCATATCATTTTATATCATATAACTTTTTCTTTTTTCTTATATTTTATTTGTATAAATAAATGTTTCATGAATCTCTTTGAATAAGAAAAATACCAAAAAAAAAAACATTCCATTTTGTTTTTTTTTGTTTTTTTTATTCTGATATTGACAAATATGAAAATTCCGTCTGTATTTCTTTCAATATATATGTGTATATTTAAATTTGTTTGTTTTTCTTTTTCTATGAATTTGTTCAATTTGTGTATGAAAATGCCTTTTTTGTTTTTATTACTTTTATTACTAATCTTCTTTTTGCACAAAGAGATCAATATTATATATAATCTAAAACGCACTTTAATCCTATTGATAGGCTCAATTTTTTTTATACATTATAGATAAATAATAAACAAATATTAAGGTAAAACATGGTTTTTTTTTTCTTTATTGTTTATTTTAATTTCTATTCTATTTTATGAATAACAACAAGATTAATTCAATAAATAAATCAATATAATATATAAATATATTTATTTAAACTATTGCTTAACAAATATTGAGATCAATTTTTAAGTGAAATAATAAATCTTAGTTAATTATGATTTATGTTTGAAATGAAGAAAATTAACTTTAATAAATATCTAATAAATAAATAATGATTGAATATTTTTTTTTATTAATTATTTTAATATTTATTTATGTAGAAGTGTTATATTGTCCAACTGAAAACAATTATTAGAATTTATAGGTTTTATCGCTATATATTTGTCTATTTAAAAAGAAAAAAAAATATCGAATATAGTTTGATAAGTCATTTATAATACGAATAATAATCAAATAAAAATATACCTATTTATTTAATCGTTTTTTACTTTCCAATTATTAATCGAATATTGATGATTACTTTTAGTTTTTTTTTTCATTAAACAAAAAAAATCTGTAAGCTTAGAAAGCATTTTTTGATGAAAGAACCTTTTATATGTTGATGATTAGTAGAATTAACGATCGAATATTTTTTAGTTTTAATTATTCATTTAACAAATAAATAGATATTAGTTTTTTTAAAATTTAATCTAATTATACATGTATTATTAAGAGAAACTTTGTTTTCTTTTTTCAAAAGAAGATATTTGTTTGATTAATAAAACGATTTTTGAAATATTATTTCTATAAAATGATGTTATTCTTAAATTAAATCAATAAAGAAAAATATTGGTAGGATAAGATATTCTATAAAATAATTATTGATAGCATAATTGAGAGAGAGATGGTTCATGTAAAAACTTGATATTCCTTTGAAATAAAATCGATTTGAATTATATTTATTTAACAGAATTCTTTGAATATGTGGTGTGGGTGTGGGGTATTAGGGTGGGTGTGGGGTGGGTGTGTGGGTGTGGGGTGGGTGTGTGGGTGTGGGTGTGGGTACGAACGCCGTCTTCTACACGCTCACACCCATCCACACTCGCACCCACACCCACCGACACCGACACTCACACCCACTCCCACACCGACACCAACACTCCCACACCCACACCCCACACCCACCCGCAGTCAGAAACCGGATTTTTCATGTACATTCATAAGATATGTTTGAAAATGCTAGTCCATTTTCCATAAGTTATACTTTCTCGACTGGTTAATATTTTCTTGTTTAGCCATTTTTTTGTGGTGGGTGGTATGATGATATAAAATTACTAAGCCAAACCTTCGACATTTTTAGTGTTAGCCAAAAAGACGAGACAATGACAGAAGGGTCACATCCACACAAAATAGCATAAAAGGAAAATATTACCAAGTTTTGATTGTGGAAATATGACTTGGACTGATCATTAGATCATAACGATCATTGTCGGTTGTATCGAGAATTAGAGAATCGACGGTGGATTCTCTTTCAAGCTGACAGAATAGTTTATGGTCTATTTATAAATATGTTTTTGGACTCTGAGCAGTATTTGGTATGTCAAACAGACATATTCAGTCAAGAAAAAGAAAGATTTTAAAAATTTCCGCGATTAATCGTCGATTTTTTGCGATTTCCATGACATGGATGTATATTGTTTTTGCATGTTCACGCCCAGACCGCTTCTTATGCTCGTTTTTAGACTGTTTTTTTTTTAATGTTTACGAAATATCTTCATCATGAGATCATTTTCGAGCTCTTACTTAGTTATCAGTGGCGATTGGAATTAAGGATAGCTACGTCTAACTTGCGTCATTCTTTTTTTATTTGAAACGACTTTTCTCTATCTACAGAGTTTTCTCACGTTTTAATTGTCAGGTAAATAAAAATATTCCCATAATTCAAATAATGGCAATTGTTCATTTGTCAATACTGTCTTCTCCATTATTACCAACGTATCAAATTGTACCCTTAACATATAATTTGTCGTCTCAAAAGTTTCATCATTCCGAGTTTGTATCATAAACAACACTTCCCGTTTCACTGGATTCCATACATCTTTTGTGACCTCTATATCTTCTCCCTGCTTTGTTTGAAATAACATAACTAGTGATTCATTTTTATATGGAAATTTTCCACTTTGATATGGATCCAGATGAAACATAAAAAGACTCAATTCAATTGAACCATGTTGCCATGTACACAAAACCAATTTTGTCTTCTCAATATCATATGTCATCGTTAAGAAATTATGTACATCTGGCATCAGATGAAAATCTGTGACGATATCTTCTTTCACTCCAACTAAATTTAAATCCATTTTAATCCAATATGCATTTACACTTGGATTGTCAAAACGTGTACGCACTTGAATAATCCAGTTTTCATTATAATCAAAACAGGAACACCAAGCAAATGGAAATGTATATTTCTCACCATCTTGTTTTGTATAAACTTTAACAACGTCTAAAGTTACCGTATCATACTCTTCGATAAACAAAGTAAATGTAGAAACGTCTCGTAATCCAAAGAGACGTTTACGTAAAGGATCATAGTGTAGGAAATGAAAGTGCCCATCTTTTAATATCCATTTACTTTGACGGTATTCTCTGGTTTTATAGTTGTATGAGAACAGTAACAAACGTTGAAATGAAGTAGCGCATTGAATAGGCATGTAGATAAGGTGCATATCTGGATTTATTGCAACGGGGCCAGCAACAAAATAGTAGAGGTCAGATTTATCATGTACATCAAAGGTGAAATTGGCAACATCGGATAGTCTTTTTAGGGTGGTGTCGAAGACAGAGATGTTGCCATAGTGTGGAAAGATGTCGGCACTGAATTAGAAATGTCAAAACAAGTCAAAATTGCATTGTGTGTGAATGTTTCAAGAGCTACCTACTTATGATATGGTTTTATTGTATAGTATTCCGAAGTAATAACAGTAGTGGGTAGAAGGAATAAAACTTCTAGACAGATAAGTAACATGGTTGCAAATGTGCGTATTGTAACACACTTGCTGTCCTTTTATTTTATTTTGTCTCTTATCTAAAGTAAACATTAGGCAATTCTTTATAGAATAACAAGAACAGTAAGAAGCCAAATGTCGATATCAGAATGACTTTACAAGTTAGTGATGCAGAGAATAAAAGTTGTTACATAGCTAGCCACATTAGAAGTAACTTCTGTTGATCTTAGACGTAAGCAAAATAATCTAACTGTAGTATAATACGCTAAAGAAAAACCGTGCTCACGGAAATTTACAAAATCTTTTTTTTTGTAGTACTCTATCAGGTGAATAATGGAGAGTTAAGCATTAAGATGCACTTTTTTTTTCATAGAGAAAACCATTTCGGTCATTAAAATGCAATAATTACACTGCGTAACACGACATCAAGCATTAAAATCATTATTCCTTAGTTGCCATATTGTGTATGGCATTAAAATGAAGTTTTTTCATGATCATGCAAATGGATAAGGGCCCAGAATTTAGTCTAATATCTTACCAATATTCATCATCGGTATTTTTTCCTCAAAAATAAATTGCTTTTTCTTCTATTCTAATTGTGGTTGAATAGAAAGGGAAGAAATAGGGTGTGACTGTGTGTGTGGCAGAGATGTCCACAACGACGCTGCCGCTGTGGCCGTGGAGTCGTGGTAGCGACAGATTATCAGCCGCGATGGGCATCTATGATGTCTACACCCCCACCGACACCCTATGCAAAGCAAAAAAGGAATGATGAATTTTTTTTATTTGTCTTCTGTTGCCAATAATTGAAGCAGTTTCATGTCAAGTTTTGAAATTTCGATCAATTATCTTATTTTCGTTTGTGAACAAAAACGATTCTGTATTGATTTCACTTGGATAGAGTCTTATGTGTTATTCAGTGAAAATCGAATATAAGGTTTGAATGATATTGTTCATATTGAAAAAAATTGAATAACACGAGTTTTTATGGTTTACTCGCATGATCGAGTACGATCGTCATTAGCAAAGTGATTTATTCAAATTATTGATTTATACAAACTATCGGCTTGCTCACTTGCTTATGTAGCCTTATTGATGGTCAACAATATTTGCTCTCTTTTAATTAAACAAATTTCTTTGCATCATGCAAGCATTTACATTAATTACGATGAATATAATAAAAGCCATGATTCAATAATTTTATTTACTAAGTTAGCAATATATTAGGAAATGCATTTAATTAAAACCAATGAAAAATAATGCATTGAAAGTAGATACTTTTAGTTTATTAGCTGATGAACAAATATTTAAGTGAGAATATTACGATAATTTGTCTTTTTAAATCTGTTCCGAGTAAGAGTATATGACCACTAGATAAAAAGTATTTATTTGTGAATGATAATACTTTTGACAAGAATATATTGAGAAAAAAAGCCTACACACATGCAAATGACGAGATGCCTGAAAGGAAGCGCATCATGACACAATATCAATGGAATTCTATGAATTTGTGTTCTTTGTCATAGACGACGGTCTATGTATACCGATATGATGAAAATATCTTAGCGAATTCTAAAAGTTCAGACAGATGGTAACGAACGAAGTAGAGTTTCATACATACACTAAATGACAACCGAGAATAGCACATTAGTATTGAGAAGAGGACATCAAACTGACATGAAGTGATCAGAATATCCAAGAAACTAAAGCAC